GACCGCACGAGTACTCTCTCTCTCTCTCTCTCTCTCTCTCTCTCTCTCTCTAATAATATCTACTCGATGACATGGACATGGTAGGTGTGCTCATGCATGAATAATACACATATGGGACATGATGGAAGAGTTGATGTGCTTCCATCTTCCACAACGCCGTCATTGCGCTAGTCGTCGTCGACGGAATAGGAAGCTTTGTCATTTATGTGGTTGTTGATGGATATTGTGCTCCATTCGTCATCAGTTCTCAGATCGGATTAGTGTTATCCACTTTGTTAACATAAATGAATATTTTAGTTGTGGATTAGGTCCAATTGTAATCAAGCAAATCAATATGCATTTCGATTGTAAATTTGCTCCCATTTCGATCCTATGCTTTGTAAGATGAGGTATTCAAGACAATGAAAGAGAATTGGATCGTAACCCTAATTTGATACTCAAAATTAGAAGATGTTGTATAGTAGAAGAGCAAGAGAATATTTTTCTTATTCTTCATTTTTATAGAAACAATAATCTTTTTAGCATTGTTGGAAAGAGATTTCTTTTGTCCCCTCTTCTTCGATGAGCAGAAGTCCATCGAAAGAGTTAGAGATAAATTATTTATTTTTATGTGTGAAAATATTTTTTTTTAAGGATTCAAACGTAGAAATCGTGATGGAGATAAAAGTTAGAGAATATTTTTCTTATTCTTTATTTTTATATAAATAATAATATTTTTATAATTATTGAAAAGAGTTTTTTTTTTCTTTGTAAATAATGTCTCTCTATCTGATCGTATTATGAACCACATGACCACAATCTTTCATAATATCTCCAAACGAAAGAAACCCACGATGAAGTCAATATAGAATCGTTCAGCGTCGCTGTCGTCCGCGTCAGCCGTGGGGCCTCGAGGAATCAAAGCACCGAAACGCATAACAATAATGTTCGTGTGCCATCGCCTGGAATATGACGTCAAGAAAACAGAAAAAAAGAGGGTCATCGTTTCTTGGAATATGCCATGCGTGAGTGATTGCTAGTGTGTGACCCACAGCAAATGTTTTACCTTGTTTTCATGAAGAAAAACCGATGACATGTTTGATTTTTTGTATATGTATGGTTCCATCGACTTGGATCACGTTTGGATAAGATATAAATGTATTCAAATTGGATCGACATCCTATTGAGATATCATATTATTGTAAATCCCAAATTCAAACACCCATATACACATAATATGATGTGATCAATTTTTTTTTTAAATTGTAATGATCTTCTTCTTCGACCACCAAAAACCATGCAATTATAAGCGTTATTATATTTTGAGGTATATAAATAATAATTATCCATTATATTTAAATATATATTATAAATATTAATGGATAAATTATTAACAAAAGCTCAAAAATTATTAATATTTATCCATGTCATCGCCTTTCACCTCGTGGATTGCTCCCCTCCACTTTATTGATTATCCTCTTCTAATCATTTTATGCCTTAAGCTAGTTTTGTTGGTCGATCCCCTTTACGTATGTGACACCCATAGGTCGGACAACGATAGCAAGGGTGCTCACACCTACACTAGTGATACCCTTAGGTCCAACGAGAGCACAAGGAGAATGAGATAATTATTGACATAAAATAATTTTTTAAAAAAATTAGGGTGGTCTTAAATTTTCTTTTCCAAGAATTCACCTAAAATTAAAATAAAAAAATTATTATTTTTATATTATATTATCATAATTTACACACTGGCTACCTTTCACTTGATTGGAGATGATAATGGCCCAAAAGAAGGATCCTGCGTGGTCCGTCATTTCATACGGGTAAGTAACTCGGGTAAATAAGTCAAAGTAGCTAGGGAAAAAACCAAGGCAAATAGGCCACAATAAAACGAAGAAGGAAAAGGAGAAATAATAATAATAATAATAATAATAATAATAATAATAATTGATTCAGCTCTTCGACGTGGTAAAGAAGCGACGACGTGCGAGGAATTCTGTTCTAGGGTTTCGGTAGGATTCGGGCGGGGTCGCAGATGAACGCCGGAGCTACTCCGGCATCAGTCTAGGGTTCGGGAGCCGCGCTTACAGGGTAGCTGAGGAGGAGGAGAAGCGGCCGTCGGAGATGCAGACCGAGGCGCCGGTGGGGGTTGTGTTGGATGGCGGTGGCCTGATGGCTCTTTCTTGTGGGCATGACGGCGGCGTAGGTGCCGTCGACGGTGGAGTTCGGAGGTATGCCACGCACGACCCGCGGCAGAATCACCAGCGGCGGCAGCATCGGCAGTTGCAACATCAGCCGCAGATTGGGACGGTTGCGCACCTTATTGCTGGAGGGGTCGCCGCGGCCGTCAGCAAGACGTGCACCGCCCCTCTTGCTCCTCTCACTATCCTCTTCCAGGTAACTCGCTGCTATTATTCCTCATCTCTGGCGACTGAAAAGTCGAAACCTTTAGCTCTTGTCTATGTTGTTATGTTCCGTGAATCTAGAAATATAGACGTGAGTTGATGTTACTTATGGATGTTCAGAAAAATTATTATAGCAAAATAATTTCCCTCTTTGTATATCAAATTGAGATTTTCACTAAAATACCAATTTGTTACCAAAAGCAAATGTTAACCAGAGTAGCATAAACAGTAGAACAATGAATCAATCACAAAGTGAGACACCGAATTTTTTACGTGAAAAACCCAATACGAGAAAAACCACGAGACCGTAGTCCACTTTAAACTTCCACTATCACCAATAATGATAAAATGTTTACAATAAATCTTCTCCAGAATAATTAGAGGACTATAATAACATCAAAAACATAAATCTTGACTTAACAATAGTATATCATCATCACCATAGATGAATTTAATAAAAAGAAAATTTTATGTCTCACCAAATGAGTCACGCAGAAAAGTATCTCAAAGAGGATAAATTGTAGATCGGTATTGTTAAGATTGTAGAGCTTGTTGTAAGGATTCTTCACATAAAATTTGGGCCAAAACCGATGAAGTTTAGCCATTTGATCGTTTAGCAAAAGTCGCAAAACCTTAACTTTCTCTATCCTCTTCTTTCTCTGTTCTTTTTTCTTCACTGCCACAGTTTCATCGTTTGCACGCCTCTTCCACCTGCGCACGTCTCTCTTTCTCTTTTTCTTTCTTTTCTTTTTCTTTTAATAAATCAAATTTGGGCTTAATGCCCAAATCAATCGGTCGAAGCCCACCTATGGGCTGGACCCAACAATTGGGTTGTCAACTCATGC